GATGTTTCCTTTCATAATGTTTACTGTTTTGTAATGTGTCCTTTGTTTCTGTAGGTCCATATTTGGCAAAATGAGTCTGGTATACAACCAAATGAAAGTTACACTTGAAAAACAGAGCGGTGGCAGGAAACCGCAGTTGAAGTAGCTGGTGAAATTTCACAAAAACTCTTAGGTGATATATATGCTATTTATGCTACAACTAGTATACTATAAATATATCACCTGTTATATCACCTGAGGGGGTCATGGTTTATCTGGTTTGGCATTTCATTCAAGAGAATACACATTTCAAATTCTTTCCTGATATAAGAGAGTTATGGAGGTAGACATGGGAATCGTGACATATTCATAGTTGATAAAAGTAGAATCTGCTGCAGGCCTCCTTCAACAAACTATGCACATAATTGAGGCACACATGCAGAGATATAAATTAAAAAAGTTGTCTGTAATCTTCTCAAAATACAGTTGGGAGGAGAAAGAGAGAAAAATACTGTGTTCATTTGTGAGTACTCAGGAGACATCCCACACTATGACAATGTAGTATTTTTAAATATATAGACAGGAAGGACTTTATTTTGGCTCCCATTGGATTTTTCCTTTCCTTAAGGTATTTTTATTTTTTTTGAACCTGTGGTTTCCTCACAGATTGTATTCCCTTGCAGTTTGTTAAGTTTCACCCGAAAATGTACTGTGTTTGAACTGCAACTTCCTGGTATTGTGTATGCTAGAATTCTTTGATTGCTTTCAAAATCTGCCCCTATTTCTTTTTCCCTGGGGTGTGCTTTCCCTATAAACTGAAGTACCACATATTGCAAATGCTGATTTTTGTCAGGCATGAGAGATCACTCATCTCCTTTGTATTGCTGATGGCTAGTAAAATTTGGATAAGATATTTCCAGCAGGTTTGTCAGGGAAATCATTTGCAGTTTGCTCACCAATATTAAGCTTTATTCATGTAGATTTCTCAGTCCATGAACCATTTGAATGGCAGTCCCAGAAGAAAGCAGTGCCTTTAATATTGAGGCCTTTGATCTCTTCTGCGTACTAATTGTCAGTTTTGGCTTTTATTGTGTTATTCCTTTTGTTTCACGCTTGGATGGTTTTTTTTCTTTTTCTTTTTTTTTTTTCTTTCTTTTTTCTTTTTTTCATTTTAATTATTTTCCCTGCTACTTCATATTAATTTTTAGTGGCTAAAAAGTATTACATTGTTGTCATGCTATCTAACTTGCACATTATGTCTCAATATGGTATCTCAGTCTCTTTCCATTACGTCATTGTTATCCTATTACGTTTTTATTGGCTCTTGAAGGTAGAGTCTTTTGTGTAAAAAAATGTTATTTCACAAGTTATTCTTTCAATTTAGAGATAGACTACTTGAATGGTGGTCAGCATGTTGGAGGGTAGCCGGTTTCTTATTCCTCGTTCTTATTGCTATGGAATGATTTATAGATCCACATTTAAAAATCTACAGATTATTTCCATTGCATGAAAGAATTGCTACAGCTACAGTTTCTGACCCTGTTATCCATATCATTTTCACCCATAGCAGTGAATATTTATATTGTTTAAAAGTTGGCTAAGGAAGGGAAAGCTCAGAGAAGGACTAGGCATTTCAAGATGACCATGTACCAAAAAAGAAAGTCTTACCAGCCAAGAGTACAAGTAATTGCTGTGAAGAGACACGTATGTGAATCTACTGACCACTGGTGTTTGGGCAATAATCTGAACATGTAAATGTTCAAAAGATATGCTAACCTGATAAAAATACTTCAGTCCCTTCATCTGGAAGTACAAGAAGGAAAGCAACAGAAAGTAATAGCATATCTTTCTTAATGCAAGAGGGCCTGGACTTCCAGACTTGACTACCCTCAGATCCAGGGTGGTGCTAAGGAGAAGAAAAAAAGAGGCTGGATGCCAAGTGGGTAGTAGGAAGATAAGAAATGGAGTAACTTCCTGCTTGCCTTTAAAGAAAGGCATAGGTTTGAGTGGAAGCATTTCTGCCCTTATTTCAGTCTTATTTCAGAGTAGGCTTCTGCTGTCATCATACCAGCTCTTGCTCAGTGCACTGCCTTGCGCTTATATACACCTACTAACAGTTTCCAGGCAAAACCCAGAGACTTATCTGAAGCCTCCTTTTCTTTACAGGTGAATCACAGTCTTTGGCTTTTCTCTTGCAGCTGAACTCCCTTGGAGGAGAGAAATCTTCAACAACATTTTGTAATTGTTTCATGTTAGCTGCGAAGCTGTCACCTACCAGTTTGACAGCTCAGTGGCCTCATTAAATGCATTCCAAAATTGATTTTCTTTTCTCTGCTATGTGTTTCTTTAGTCCGGTAGATATCATGCTAAATCAGATCAATTCCAGTGTACTGCATCAGGTAAAATAACTAGGGAATAAAAGGCCCCTCTTCTGTCATTATAAGCAATTTGGTCATATGTGTTGCCCTTTTCCCCTTAATGTTCAGCTATGCCTCTAATAGCTGAAGTGGTTGCTTCTTTAACAAAATAATTAAGATGGTTTTAGTTTCTTTTTGCAATTCAGTTTTCTGTTGTCTCTTCATGCTGAATGCCTGCTCTCAACTGGGAAATTCTTCTCTCAGTATCTCCCTAGAGTTCTGCAGATACCAGAGTCTTGTTTTGAAATCTACTCTCAGAGCCTGTATTTTGAAGGGAAATGGTGGGAATACTTTGGAAATTCTTTTGTTTTAAAGAAATCAGCTTTATAGCTCAAAAGCCGCCTTAATTCTCTCTAAAATGCATGCAAACGTGTTTGAAGACATAGTAGATATTCTTGTTCTATGTCAGTGTTATGGTCTGCCATAAATTTTAATGAAAACTTTCCAGATATGGTAACTCGAGTGAACTGTGATGAATGTAAAATGCTCCTTTCCTGCTCATCAAAGGCTAACATAAGGAAAAAACAAAACAAAACAAAACATGACACTACAGAAAACCAAAGTATAGCCTTTGTTTTTGAATATTTTTAATATTCTTTATAGCTTCATTTTATGATGTTCATTATCTTGATTCTGTTCTCTATACTTTAAGTCTTCCTGTGTAATTAACAATATCCTTTTGATATTTGATATTGAGAAAGAGTAAATTTTGAACAGTAACAATCCACTCCCACACCTTTTCATTAGCTGTGATATTCAGACATGAATTTTGGAGGCGGATCTATACCTATGTGTGTTTATACCTGTATGAGTTGCATATCATACTTCTGATGAAATAGATTTTCTTCTACTAATAGAGAACGTGACTGAGATATAACCAAAGCATCTGCAATCCTTTCTACCTCAGTAGTTTTCCCCTGAGTGGGACTGTCATAATACTTGTTTCCCTATGCTTCTGGTTTTCCCATAAAAAAGGACAGTTACTAACTGTGCATGCCTGAGAAAATTTGGTAACGAACAATAATATGAACAAGACATTACTTTTCCCTTCACAAACCTTACCTCATGCAGCCAGCTGAGAACACTAAATGTGTGTTGGGTAATTGGCTTCCCTGCATCCAATGTTTTTAATTGCCTGAATATACAATCAACTCAAGGTACATTTCTTGTGCTCTAATGAATTTTAACGTAGAGGTTTATTTCCAGATGGATTGGCATTGAAACAGCTCTTCAGCTTCTTATAAATATGATTTAGATTAACACATTGATACCAAAACCTTACCACCCAAGAAATTAAATATAGAATGTATTACATAATTGTGTGACTAGTTTATCTATGGACATCAAAATAGCTTTTGGAAAAAAAAATGCATCGCTCTCTAGAGTACACTATGGCACTAGAGGAGCATTAATGCAGGAAATCTTGTACTTACAGAAAGTTTGAGATATGTCATTTCAGGGGGAAAAAAATCTTCCATAATTTTTAATTCACTCTTTTTATTTGTTTGTGACTTGAAAACCAAGGAAATGAAGCTCTTCTTTCCTGACACAGCATGTTGGAGTAGATACATCTATATGAATGCAATATGAGGACATTTTACAGTATGTCATTTCTCAACTGAAAAAGTCATACCTACTTGTACTCTAAGAGTGAATGCGCCAGTTCATACAGTATATCTGAACATTTAATTAATGTTGCTGCCAGAGTAAATATGCAGCAGTTTTGACATACCTCTGCAATCCATATTTATAGAGGATATAAGAATAAATTAGTAGTATGTTAGATATTGTTTGGGTTTGCACCTGCCTCTGATGAAGCTGTGACTTTGACTATGTCATTTGACTTCTACATGTAGTGGTAGTCTCACTCGTAAACAGACATAATAGTGGTTTTCTCTGCACAGAAATTATGAAATAATGGAGATAATGTTTTTAGAGCAAATGAGCTCATGTGGAGAAATGATTTCTTTACAGGATTTAAGAAAGATGATGCACATATTTGCTGTGACACTTTGGGCTCTGTTCATCATTCTATCCCATGTTGACCTGCTCTATGAATTTGATTCTAAGAGTCAAGTGACTTAAGCCTTACTATGCCTTTGATCTACACAATAAAACAATAATGATTGTGTTTAGTCATCTTTGTCAAAAGCGTTTGTACCTGTGTATGCAAGGAGCTCATTGAGTGCTAATCTGTACCATACATAAGTTTTTGTGATTGAAGACTATGCCACTTTCTCTTTTGTCTCCAGCCTGAGTAACTGGGAGTGAATAGTTATGGTAGTCAGAATTGCAGTCTACAATATAATCTAGCTAAATTAATGTCTCTAATGTAGATACATTTTGACTCCATAATAGTCTGTAATATTTCAACTAACTTATTTCAGCAAATGATCTCAAGTCAGAGGGGTCTCTGATGCTAGAGTTAGCTCCTGTCTGTTCTGTAGAACTGTTCAAGATTTTAAGGTGTGATAGTGGCTTACATTCAGACCAGAAGGTCACATTTTAGTTAACTGTCATATAGAGGCTGCCTCTGGTAACCATGCATCATTTCTACATTATTGTAAACATGTATGTGATACTATTGCTTATGCTGTATTTCAGGAAAAGCAGAGATTTCTGACAGATGTTCTACATGAAGTGATGTTGCTAGACGGTTTGACCAGTTCACATCCAGTATCCCAGGAGGTGCAGCAAGCCACAGACATTGACAGGGTGTTTGACTGGATTGCATATAAAAAGGTGGGACTAATTAAACTTATCTATTTCTATGAGATTTGTCACTACTATTAGAAGATTATGTTCTGTCTGTAGAACAAATGCTCAAGAATACATTCATAATTGTTAATAGGTGGTAAACTTTAATTTGTGTGGAATATGTTTGTGGTATACTACAGCATGTCACTACAGTAATTTTATCCCATGACATTCAACATAACAGTGTTAATGTTCTTTTAATTACTATTCATTTTGTGGCAGTGTCTGAAAAGTGTTAAATGCTTTAAAAGCAAAAGGATACGTAGTCTTTACCCTTTTGAAACTCTCAAGAAGATTTCTCAAGTACTGAATTTAATATTTTTTTCCTTTTTTTTTTTTTTTTTGATGTATGAGATGTTTTTTTCTATCAACCAATGAAAACTCAGGTCATTGCAGAAGAGCAAGAGCAGAGGAACGGAATTCTGCTGTGGAGAAGGAATATGTATTAATTCAGGCAATTTCAAATTGCATTTTAGTGATAGGAATGATTCAACCAACTTTGGGACTTCCATGGAAGAGTGGGAGTAATGTATAATTCCACCTTCTTCATGATAGGGCTTGATGTTAGCCTATGACCCAAAAACTGGAGGTTTCCATCACACCACATTATTCTCTGCTTTGTGGTGTGGTGTCCAGTACTGTGCTTTAATTTCATGACTAAATGTGCTTGATGCCTGATGCAGATGTTGTTTCCTGCAGCTTTCCACTAGGAAGGTTGTACTGGAACTCTCTGCTCCAGACAATAAGTCTCTTGACTGTTACCCTTGTACTGGATAATATTTTCCTTCTGCACCATTAGCTGCCTAGCATCAGACTGAAACAAGACAGCTGCAGCATAGCACTGACTTGCCTGCTGAGCTTCCAGTTTATCTAGCAGATATTTAGGGCTAAAAGAGAGTGTATCCTCTCTTGCAGTCGCCAGTTATTCCCATCAGCAACAAATTCAAGATGTTCATCTTCTGTTAGAGGTTCTTATTCCTTTAGGGGTGGACAGATGAGAGTGTCTGTGTAAAAATGCTTAATAGATATAGAATGTAATATTTGAACATAAAATACCTAGGAAAATATTCTAAAATACTGGAGTAGATCAAGAGCCCAAATAACATTTTCAATAAAATTTTTGCTGCCTTTGAAAATATTATTCTTGGTCAATTAAGTGATAATAAACAGCAGGTTTTTGATTATTGAAGTGTTCTCATTGTTTAAATATTTTAATCATGTTTGCTGGTGATAGCTGAACCTCAGCTGATTCAAAGGTTTATCTCACATAGTATCTTAATATCTCAAGCTAATGATTTTTTCTAATTAATACGATAATAGTAATATCACACAGTACTCTGTAATACTTAGCACTAATCTTTTAATCATATGAACGTTTTACAAACACAAAGAATTTATTTACATTGAAATGATAAATAGGATTCTAAGACACATCTGTATACTGTTAGCTATTTTATACATGCCAATAGCATCACTGTGTTTTGTCTGTAAATTAGAGTACAATCTGCGTATTGTATCTGTCTGTTTATTTAAGGGTTCATTTTTACTGTAACAGTGGCCATGCTCGGTGGATGAAGTCAGCATTTCCAGTCAGCTTCTCTGATGGTTGGCTCTCCCAGAGCCCTGAGTGATGTTGAGTGAGTTCATATCAGGGCCTGTACCTGTAAATTTTAACTCGTTTATCTGATCTAGCAATCCAACCTGAGAAATGGCAATGAAAGAATTTACTTTTGCCCTTTCTAAGGGGAGGAGACTAAAACACTTTCAACCATAAATTCTTTTTTTGCTGTCTAATAAGTTATCTGCCTTTCTGTCAAGCCATTCATCCTTTTGTTTTGAATACAGTCTTTCATCAGAAGAAACTTTACCAGTGACTTCATAGCTGCTTTTTTCCCTGTTTCTGTACTTTCCTCTAAGCTTCTGTATCCTTTTGAGAATAAGTTAGAACAAACTTAACGTTTTGTAGATCTTGCATTCTTGTTTCATTTCTGTGTAATCTTGTATGCAAGCATGCACAATTTTGCACTTAAAATCAATTCGCTTGTTGATGAAATGAACTCTTTTATGAGATAGCTAGAACTTTTGCCTATCCTTCTAGCTCTCTAATCTCTGCCAATATCAATACTGTGACGAATAGTATGTTAATAAAATCTGAAATGTACCTTGTCGGGTGTTTGTTCAAATATTTTCCAGTGCCTCAAAGCCCTCCTTACACTGTGAGCCCTGAGCGAGGGATTTTATTGCTGGTATTTCATGGATGGCTTTTTAGTTGATTGCTGACTTATTTTTTAAATTACTGAAGAATACCAAGTTCTTGAGAATTTCTTGCTTTTGACTCTAGTAAACTTTTGGTCAGGATCATTAGTGAGGTCTTTTCTACTGTCTTTATTAAAATGTTAATTTTTAAAAAGTCTAGGACTACATGCAGTATCTTTTCTCAATCTCAACCTCTCAACCTTTTTTTTTTTTTTTTTTTTTTGCATTCTCTTTTAATTTTTATTCAAAATATCCACCTGATATTCCCTGGGACCTTAGGTTGTCATGTGATCTCTTTTCTCTCTGTATCTTCTACCTGAAATTGAAATTGTGAAACTTTCTCCCATCTCATTTTTCTGCAGTGAAATGACAGTCATAGATTGTCATTGTCATTTCATTATCTTTACTGTCATCAATATGGCATAAATCAATTAGAAACCATTAAAATGCCTGTGTCTGCTAGACATTCAGCTGTCATTACTCTTCCTATACATTTCAGAGGTAACCATTGAAACTGTGATATTTAAATGCCTTGGAGCTGAATATACTTTTCATTTCCACTTTCTTGTCCCCAGTGGTTGCATGTGTTAAAAGGTTCATGACTAAACTTCCAAAATATGGTATTCAGGTAATCCCATTAGCAGAGTGAAACAGGCACTGCAGCACACAGTATTTCCACTTATGCTGTTGACAGTGGTGCTTGCCTCTTTCAAAAGCCAAACACTATCATAGCAGTCCTTCACATAAAAGCATGTCATGTCATCTTCCACTAAGGCCACAAATATGTAGAAATAAACAAGAAGCCGTGATAGCACATTAATAAGCAAACAATAGTGGTAGATGATTCAAGGCTCTCAGTTCACATCAGAGAGTGGATATATTTTCCTAGTGCAGCTGTAGGTGAGTGAGTGTCCTCACACAATGACAGGAAAAGTGGTTGTATCCCAAGTGAAGTGGGAAATATACGCTGTTGAACACACAAGTGGATCTGAGAATTATTAAATCAAGGCAAAAAGCGTGACAGCCTTTCCACACCAGAAATAACTGACAGCGGGAATCAGCCCTGGAAAGCTACATCAACAGAGGAGAGAGTGCAGCAAGGATAACATGAGGAGCAACAATCAGCAAGGAAGAACCAGCTGTAATGAAACAGAGAAACAAGACAGCTGCATCATAGAGGGAGCAACCAGACCCAGAACAGTATTAGAGAGATATCCCAGATAGAAGTAAAGAAGTCATACTGTACATGAGCAGTCACAGCCAGATAACAGAAGATGTGAAAGGGCACCAAATACAGTATAGAGAGTTAGAAAATATCTGAAGTTGTTTCCATCATGCTTCTGAATGCTTTAAAGTGTGTTGGTTGCAGATCCTGGTAGCAATCAGAGCAGGCAAGTTCAGTAGGCTGGAGTGTAGCTATCAAAGTGTACAACCAGCAGAATATGTCTCGGCAAGCACAAGTACAATCAAAGCAAGGAAGGGTGTGGCTGGAATAGAGAAGAATATTCAGTTTTTCCTTCCTGTAAGCAAAATGAGTTTCTGTAGTGATACTGGCCCAGACTTTGCAACCCAAGTAATTATTTTCTAAACATTTGTCTGCATAATTTGTTTTTCATTGTAACTCTGTGCCGCTTCTTTAAAAAAGCTTTTTCCTGCTTTCTGCAACAGTCTGATGGAAGGAGGATGTATTTCTCATAGTTATAAAGGAAGGGGGAGGCAAACCCCCCAAGGCCAATGTTAGAAGGACTATACAACTAAAAATACACACAAAGAAAAATGGTCAGTTTCCCGTTTGTCACAAGAAACAGTTCTGGCAAAAGAGGATTTAAGACACTGGAAGTAGTGACTTGCTCTCTCTATAGTTCTCTCTGAAAATTCACAGTGTATCATGTTTTGCAAGAACAGTCAGTGCAAAGGCTCTCTAAAATCTTCATTCTTTTTACTTCTTTTTGTCAGAAAACTGGCCGGATCCTAACGCTGAAATAAACAAAAACCAAAACATCTATTTTGACCAGTGAAACCAATATTAGTATTAGAATGAAATCCACTCAATTTCGTAAGTGTAAAGATATTGTGACAATCTTTTCCTAACAAAATGGTTGTGTGCAGTGACCACTTGAAAGTGAGAGCAGCTCATGAGTGAACACTATAAGAAATACTAGAGAAACACTAACAACTAATAAAATAAAGTAAAGCTGATTATATTTTTAATTAATCACTTAACTAAATCAGGAACGTTGAGATGACATCCGGCTAGCTAGTTAAAATTCTTACAATACATTTCAGGTCACTGTGCAACCCGTTCCCTCTCTACAGTGTAAAGGTTTGTTCTTCCTGTCTAATTTAGCTGTGATGTCACCCGTGAATGTCATGAAGCTATCTGAGTGTGTCTGATAGTGGTGTCTGTTCTTTGACTTGATAACACGGAAGGTCAGTGCTCAGATTGTAGAAGGTGCTTTCAAGACCCATTTGAGAGTAATGCATTTTATCAGAGGATGTATCTTATAATGAAAACAATTCCTGTTCAGATAAGAATGTTTTAGATCTTCACAGCTTCCAGTATGAAAGCCATTGGAATGTGAAGTTGGTGAAATTTTTAGGTTCAGAGCAGTCCCAAGAGTGCCTGACTTCAAGAATGCAGGAAATCCTGCTCCAGCCAATGGGGTGCTAGTGTATAAAGCCAACCAGGTACATCTGATCACCTTCCTGACTCAAAACAGTCAGTAACA